ATTTAGGGTTTTTTTTAGTAACGAAGAGGTAAAAAAAACCATAAAGCCAAATGTAAATATCAACATACCTGCTCCCTTAATAGAATGCTCCAATAATTTTCTTTAAACTTACAGATGGAAGAGGATATTTTCTCTTTTAAAATAATATTGTTCCTTGTCCTGCATTTGCTTGAAAATCAAGATAATATCATCAAAACTGAATAACAAAGCAACAGTTGTGTAATTTCCACTCCCACCCCTGCCTCATTGCCCAGGACACTAAAATTCCCAGTTACACCTCTGGTTGTGATTTGTGAATAATACCATTATTTAAAATGCACTTTCAGCATGCAATCTCTTAACAGTCTGGCAGTGTTACGTACAGCAGAAACAAGCTGTAGCATAGTGGTGAATTTCCCTGTGTTTTTAAAATGTATCTCTGATAAGAAAATATTAAATGCCTTCAAGTTAATTATACAAGCACTACTGCTATTGTGGTTTATTTCCTATGTGTACAAACAAGCCCATTAAGCCATAGCAGAAGTTACATATTTACCCTAGGAGAGATCCTTCTGGCTCTAAATAGCTATCCGGTGTTGACCACAGGAATTGGTGAATAACTATTTGATCTGGAGTATATTATCTTTTTGTTTTGGCTGTAGCCTGTTAATATTTCTCTGAGAGTGCAATTTATCTTTCTAAAGTTTCAAAGCCAGAGGTTAAACTGTTCTGAGTTAGTTCATTCTTGTCTGATTTTGGGGAGGGTTATTATCTATTCAGGTATGTGTCTGTGTGCACACATACATAGACACAGTAGAGAGATAAACGAACACCTGGTCAAGTATCTCTGTGTATCAATTAGTATGTATGGTTTTCAATAGAATTTTACTATTTTATAAATTGTTGTTATCTTCAAAATCTGACCAGTGTTGAGTAATAGGTGAAGTTTTAAGAATTGGGCAATATTTTCTGGAAAATCCAGGTATGATTTGATAAAGAAGCAGAAGACTAGAGATGTGTTTTTGGCTGAGTTTATTTGTTACCATTCCAAACTCCTGATGATACTGTTTTAAGAACAGGGTTCTTCAGACAGAAAAAATAGTATGAAATCTCTTGTCTCCCACCCCATCTTTTACCTATAAAACTCTTCTTTTTTTTTTTCTTTATACCTCACTTCCCCATCCTGACTACTACCTTCTCCCTCCCTGTATGCGATTATGGTATCACTGTCTTGCATTCCTGTTGTTTCTCCTTGTCTATAGCTATCTTAACGACTTGGACCGTATAGCAGATGCTGGCTATCTGCCTACCCAACAAGATGTGCTTAGAGTGCGAGTTCCAACAACAGGGATCATTGAATATCCATTCGACTTACAAAGTGTCATTTTCAGGTAGAAAAATGTTTATGAAACCCATTTAAAACTTTTTTCTAAGTAATATGTTAATAATATAACTTATGATATGAACTTATAATATGAACTAAAAAGTATACACCAAGTGATTTTGTACTACTTTAAATATGTCCAGTTTGTTTCTACTTTCTTGTCACATATTATTGCTGATTTAAGTTAGAGATAGAAAAAGAGAAAGCAAACCTCCATTTTAAGACATTTTAAGACATGATAGTGCAACTTGGAAGTGTTTTTAATGCCAAGGTTTAATTACAGATTAAATTCTATGAAATCTATCCATTCTCTAATACCATTTAATGGCTGTAACAGATAAACTTAGTGAGCTTGATTTTAAAGGGCCCATTTTGCAAGTTTGTATTCAGCTAATCTCTGAAAGTGCCTATTGCTTAGAAAAAATATCTGTTTTCTTGAACTTCAAAATTAGACATCAAAGAAAGGTCATTTGGACTTAATAATTAATTGTGGGCACACAGTTCCCCGAAAAAAGAAGGCTGAGGCTGTTTCTAAATTCAAGAAAAGAATCAACTTAGACTTGAAAAACACTTGTTAAGTTTCCAAATGTTTTAATTGATATTCATTCTTTTTAATAGCAGCATTTAATAACCCATATGTATTTCACTGCTGCTACTCCATATCCACATCACTAAGTGCTAAAATTTTGCAATGAATGCAGAATAATATGGAGTTGAATTACAAAATTAAAACTGTAACAAGAGCATTACTGTGATCATACTAAATTTCAGTCTTTCACTATATGCTTTCAGTTGCATTTTTCAAGTGTAATAGAAGAATTTTTTTTTATTCTTTTAAAGCTGGAATTGTCTATTTAAGCACTTGAAAGCAAAGGAGTTGTTAAGCCCATACTGAAATGTATGTGCATTAACTTCTGCTTTACAATACATCATCTTAGACACTCTTGATAAAATAAACATTTTTCAGTCTTTAACTTGTTTCTAAGTTTATTTATGCTTTGTATACTCGTTTCTTTTTGCCACAGATACACTTTATATCTGTTCCACAAGAGATATTTATTTTATTATATCTCCAGGTGATTATCTTGTTCCACAAAATACATGCTGTAACTACAGGAAAAATGCTGAAACAATTTCAATTGCAGTAGTTTTTATTTTACTACATAGCATTTCTCTGTGCACACCTGTTTCTGATTAATACATGAGGCTTAATATGCTAAATACACAATGAATAATTCTCAAAATTCCTTTAGTAAGAATTCTGCTTGCTGGGCATTTGAGAAAATGGAGGCTCCTAATTGTTAAAATCTAGAAGTTTCATAGTTTCATAGTTAATAGGGTCGGAAGGGACCTGAGTAGATCATCAAGTCCGACTCCCTGCCATGGCAGGAAAGAGTACTGGGGTCAAACGACCCCAGCAAGGTGTACATCTAGCCTTCTCTTAAAGACCCCCAGGGTAGGAGCCAGCACCACTTCTCTTGGAAGTTGGTTCCAGATCCTAGCCACCCTGACAGTGAAGTAGTGCCTCCTCATGTCTAGTCTGAATTTACCCTCTGCCAGCCTGTGACCGTTATTTCTAGTCACTCCTGGTAGTGCTCGGGGGGAACAGGGACTCCCCCAGTGCGTGCTGATCCCCCCTGACTAGTTTGTAACAGGCCACTAGATCCCCCCTCAGCCTTCTCTTTTGGAGGCTGAACAGGTTCAGGTCCCATAGCCTCTCCTCGTAGGGCCTGCCCTGCTGCCCCCTGATCATGCGAGTGGCCCTCCTCTGGACCCTCTCCATGTTGTCCACATCCCTCTTGAAGTGCGGTGCCCAGAACTGGATGCGGTACTCCAGCTGCGGCCTGACCAGTGCCGCATAGAGGGGGAGGATCACCTCCTTGGACCTGCTTGAGATGCATCTGTATATGCATGACAAGGTGCGGTAGCCTTCCTGACTGCATCCCCACACTGTCAGC